CCATCATCTCCTCACACCGCAGCCCGCTCGCCATCATCTCCTCACACCGCAGCCCGCTCGCCATCATCTCCTCACACCGCAGCCCGCTCGCCATCTGCTCCTCACACCGCAGCGCACTCGCCATCTGCTCCTCACACCGCAGCGCACTCGCCATCTGCTCCTCACACCGCAGCCCACTCGCCATCTGCTCCTCACACCGCAGCGCACTCGCCATCTGCTCCTCACACCGCAGCCCACTCGCCATCTGCTCCTCACACCGCAGCCCACTCGCCATCTCCTCCTCACACCACAGCCCACTCGCCATCTCCTCCTCACACCACAGCCCACTCGCCATCTCCTCCTCACACCACAGCCCACTCGCCATCTCCTCCTCACTCCTCATACTGCGCTGGCTGCAGGGCAACAACACAACACACTTGCCATCCTCTTCTCACACTGTTCCACACTGACAGCAGGGGTTTAAGGTAAAACTAAAGAATGTAATTAGCTCAACTAAAACTGCCTAATAGGGGAACAAACCACCATCCTCTTCAGATCTCATCCTGCCTATGCACTTACGAGACTTTGAAAAACATCCAGCAGATTAAGGAAAGTAATTTAAGACATTGTTAGCCAATGTTACATTAGTAGCAAAGTTACTTAAAACACTGTAACATAACCAATGTGTAATACACCAGTAGCAGCACACTCACAAAACCTAATATTATTTTATAGGTTAATGATTAGAACTGAATATGAACTAGATTCCAGGTAGCATGCCTGAGTAGCTTTTTTCCTAAGTGTACTGTATAAGTAATTAAAGGAAGGCATTTTTGAAATGCAGCAAACTTCAGAGCAAAAAAAGAAAGGGCTGGATGAGATCCTTGGAACAATGAACTATTAACTACTTAGATAGCTCCTAGATGGGCCATATAGTCTCCCCTTGTTCGTAACCTTTCTCATGTTCTTACACACACATTCTTCACCTACAGTCTAAAAAAACACATCGGGAAGGAAAGAAAATTAAAATCTTATAATTAAGGGTGGTAATGTCACGATGCTATATTACCGTAGATTACTCACAGACAGAAGGAGATTTAACCGATGAGGTAAGACTATGGACTTCGATGTTATGGGCAAAAAAAGGAAATAAAATGTCAAATAAAGACACATTTGCAGTCTTCCCTGTAGCAAAACGTCACAAATAAATGTTACTTCTAACATGTACGTACACAGATCTATATAGGGCATAAAATAAAGTAGCAAAAGGAAAAATTTCTGTCACCTACAGTTACAAATTTTACGATAATGATACGACATTAGATCTTAGAAATATATTTCACATGTAGGGGCACATAATACTACTGAAGTAAATGCTGCAATGAAGTAAGTTTGAGGAATCACTACTCTTGTGATTGTGGAAAAGTGCAGAAAGGTTTTTGAATTCATTCGTCCTCTGCATACAACAGTACACAATCTGACCAGCAGACACTGCAGCGTGCCGAGATCTCACTCCCAGCCGAGCTCCAGGATGCAAGTAAGCGCACGCTCTCTTTCCCGAGAGACTGAGCAAAGGAAGAGGCTGAACATGGCTTTGTTTTTCTATGAGCTATAAGGTAGCGAAAAGTCAGTGTCACGCGCCAGCCCACACACCTCCCTGTGCTTCTCCCACAGGCAGCAGAGCGGGGCCTCACCTTCCTCTGCTGGTCCAGTTTGATCTCGGTGCGGTAGTGCTCCAGCGCTTTGGCCACAGCCGCCTCGAGCGCCTTCTTATCCTCCAGCTTCTGCTGCTCCAGGGCGGCCTCGATGTGCAGCTGCTCCCTCACCCGCTGCTCCGCCAGCTCCCTGTTGAGCTGGTCTATGCGCCGGTGGGCGTGAGCGATCAGAGAGTTCAGGTCATCCGGGGTCAGCTGGCCAGCTGGAAAGCACAAGCGTGGTTGAAGAACCCGGGGAAGGGGCGCAGATCAAAGCCAGCACGACGGCGCCGCTTGTATGCGCAGACGTGCGCCTACGTGGACTGCTGTCTGCGTTGCGCACGCTTCAAAAGGCACTGAGAAAAAGACGTTCTGGTATTTTTCCGAACACAATACGCGCATTAATACCCCAAATGCCATCCAAGAAGTGAAAAAGTCTCCAAAATAATCAAGGTGCTTGATTAAAACACATTTCGTTTTAGCAACGGATTTTAGATTTCTCCAAAGCCATTTTGGGGGGGGAGGGAGTGTTACCCATCTTTCATTTGTAAAGCCTCGTCTGGCTATGTTCATCAACACTTTTCTTTCTTAACCACCATTGTCCGCAGTTCTTTACCGGACATTGGAGGTTTCCCAAAGAAAGTTTTCCATGGGGTACTAACACAGACGTTCTTTTAGATCAGAAGATATCTTGGTAGCATAAATACAAAATCACGTAGTATGAGCTAGTAACAAAGCCCTGGTGACTCAGGGTTAGGAACAGAAAACAGGTTAAAAAAATTACATGAACGTAAGCAACGTACTTTACAATCACTACAATGAAAATCACAGAAGACTATATATAAAGTCAAATAAAAGTGCACAGGCAAAAAAGGCATGTTCAATATTGCCTCTGAGTGCTCCTTAAAAGGAATATTCCTAAGGAAATGGAATAATCCTCCTAGGAAGAAAAAGGATGAATTAGGGGGAAAAAGGTCTTGTTTTACAGGGAAGCATGATGAAGTAAACAGTTATGATCTCTTCTCAGAGGCCTGTTAGTGCTATGAAAAAATCTGTGAGGAGAAACAAAGGCCAAAGAGCTCTAAAATGCGACAGAATGCTATGAAAGAAGTCTGTCAGGGCCAGTACAGTAACAGGTACAGTAAAATGTGTCAGAAAATGATAAGGGGGCTTTACTTTCTTTTATCATTGCAGTGTTACAAAGCTACATTTTGTTAGCACCTACAAACAAGCGTCTACAAATTGATCAAATAAGTAGGAAATGTGTGCAAGCAATCCATCATAGGATCATAGGTGTTAATCTGCTCTTTATGTGTAAGATGCAAACTTTCTGACAATATGTGGCTCAAAAGGAAGATGGGGCAGCTTATGTTTAACACATTACTTATTAAACAATTCTGCTGCTTTAATACCGATAACCTGCAATTACACTGTATAATCTGTATAAAGTCAAGCCCTTAGCTTTTGCAAAGCAGCTAATATCATAAAAGGTACTCATTTTACATCTTTGTTCAGATTATTTAAAATGTTTCATCGTTTTTAAAAACCTAGTTCACCTTTTATGAATTAGACACCATTTTTAGATTGTGGTACATTTTTAAACACTTCCAACAGAATCGTTCAATCCAAGAGATCTATTGAAATTCATAAAAGAGCCTTCTGTCGTAGGGCAATGCATATTAGCCACTTGAAAACAAAGCTCTTTGGGTTGACAATCAAAGCAATGGATTTTGTCTATGAAAGTGAACTACAAACAAAATAGCTAGTGAATCAAGACAGTAATGAAACGCATCAAAACTACAAAGCACTCACCTAAGTCAGACACCTCTGTAACAGAAAAGGAAGGCGTAGAAAGGTTAATTCACATTCACCACAGCACAACTACAATTAGTCACAAACCCAAAGCCATGCAGTAAAAGATTAAAAGTAAATTAACACTGCAAAGTAAATGAACAAAGCTTTGCCTTTTTGAATGTCACATAAAACAGCAAAAAGTTCCCATTCATCCATATGCAGGATTTCAATGCCTGCATCCTGTTCGTAACAACTTTTTTCATTAATGAACATGAAAAAATTCACCATCTGCAACTTTTTTTCCCTCAACAGCCAAGAAATAAATACTATACGCATTTTTCTGCATTGTGTTTGCCAGTTAATTACATCTTGTACTTTGAAGTACTAGACTTTTAAGTTTCATAGTAACATTATACTGTCATGTCCCATCACTGTACACACTGATGTTGGGGTGTTAATACATTTAAAACTGAATTTGACTACAAGCATGAACACCAAGAGCAAGCCATAAGTTGCTTCAGATAAAAACAACTTGGAATCCATGCCAGACGTAAGGCTACACCAAAATAAAACAAAATTCTGACCTTTGTTTTATTACGGTAACAAAACACTAGGAAAAGGCATTCTTGTGACAAAGCCAGAAGAGACATGCATGTGCTATAATTAATGTTGGGAATAGCGCAGCTATTGTCCTTGTGATGTCGATCTCCATCTTCAGAAATGAAAAGGTCAAACATTCCTGTCACACCCTCAAGTCCCTCTTCCTCCATGTTTAATTTTCATTTACAATTTCCCGAAGTAGGATTTCCACCTACTGCACCGGTTTTTAATATTGTCTGAATCCAGCTAATTGGCCTTCCATGATGTAAACTAAAAATCTGAAAACCAAATTTATTTGCTACTCAATTTACGGTACAGTTCTTTGCTTTGAAAATGATAAAAAATAGTTAATGGAAAACTTCCAATGTAACCATGTTAATATGCAAGAATAGGAAAACACTCCGATATTAACAATTCTGTAAAAACCAGTATAATACAATCCGTCAACTGTGTTGGTATGGACTTACTGAGTCCCTTCCAGCCAGGATGGATCTCAGGAGTGATGCTGTCCAGCTCTTTGAGAAACTGCTCTCTGGCCTGAGTCACCAGTTCGCTGTACTGAGCTTCAATCTTTGCTTCTGTCTGGGCTGCCTGGACCTGCAACACAGAATATCCAGTGACAGGGAATCAGGCCTCTCAAAACAGCATGTTAATGGCAGGGGCACAAAGGCTCTTCCCAGTTTCAAGTTCATTGTCATTATACTCATACACAGCTATATGGTATAATGAAATGCTATGTAGCTAGCTCTCAGGTGGCGAGTAGTACAAAAACCAACAATTGTGTAAGAAACGAAAGACAGGGACAACAGGCAATGTGCAAAACAGCAACAGTTGTGCAAAATCATACGTCAACAGAATGAAACAAAGGATTCAAAATTATGGGGAGTGAATGTCTTGACGTGAGGTAGAGGTAGATTGAATGTGCTTTTGAGTTTTGATAAAGTTTTCGCACACTTCTTACCTTTTTAACAACATTATCTAGGTCGACTAGCATGTTGTGCAAGTTCTTCTCTGCCGCCAGGATCTGCGGCTTCGCTCCGGTGACCTTGGTCTGCTTGGCCTCCTCAATCACCCCTCGCAGCTTCTCCAGTTCATTCCTACAGGGGAGTCATGGGACAACTCGCTCTGTGTGCTCTAGTTCGATTTCAGGTTTTCAATTACCTGTACAACATACATTATATCCTAATGGAAAGATAATTAAAAAAACTAAAAAAAAAAAACTTTGTGTCCCAGCAAGCAACAGGCACAAGGCGGGGTACACCATCACAGGACACACATTAAAACCAGGTCAGGGCCTGAAGCCAAATAACCCACCTATTTCTGTATGTTTTTTGGATTGTGGGAGGAAACCCATGCCAACATGGGGAGAACATACAAACTCCACACAGACAGCAGCCTGGAATTTAACCCAGTACCCCAGAGTAGCGAGGCAGCCACTGTCACCTCTTTTAAATATTTAACAATCTAATTTTCCTGATGGTGGAAGAAACAATAATCCTTGTATTTAAAGAAGAGAGGCATCCTGACAGAGTTCTATTTGATTAAGAAAACTACTCTACCTTAAAACACGACTCATTTAAACATGAGCTGCTGTTTTAATCCCAAAAACAGATATCACAGTAAAGCAGGTGATTTGAAAAGTAAAACTGAGTGAGAAAATGACGGAAAACCTGCAGTATGCAACGTGAAAGATTTCCAACACTGCAGTTCTCTAGTCAAAAGATGTCAGCAGACTTGACATTCTTACTTGGCTTTTGAGAGAGCATCTGTGGCTTCATCCACAGTCCTGCTGCGCTCCTTTAACGCATCCTCCAGGAAACGCCACTGAGCACTCTTCTGTTCTGATGAAGTCTTTCGAGATTGAAAACAAAATAAACTCTTCATAGAAAACAGCCTGGATCACATACATGCTGTACTACACCAGTTAACCTAATCCCTCATTAAGAATCGGCCACTGAGTGCATTTTGTTTTCAGTCAAACAATAAATCTTCAGGACGCTGGTAAAGCAAACTCTAAGAACTTCAGGCCTGGAACACAGACTAGGTAATGAACACATTCCTTGACTTGTCTTTACATGAACGTCGTATTTAGTACTAAAGACAGGAGGCACTTCTTCACATTGGAACTAAATTAGATACTGCAACATACTAAATTATATAGTGCTAAATTATCAAATTATGTTCTCTAAGGTATGGTTGAGACTTTGATAAAAAGGCTTGTAAACCTAGCTGTCTGGACCTATCAATTATCGTGAACACCTGAACTGTGGTTTTAAGCACCTAAATAGGACTAATTAAATATGATGTCTTTATTAAAAAAAGGGCAGGCTCTCTCCTCCATCTTCACTTCATTAATTAAGTAAAGGTCCTTCTTGATTTTGCTGTGCGCAGCAGATGACTCTGTGTACCTCGGAGTTCTCCATGGCCTCTTTCAGTCTCCGGGTATGGCTGTTAATGGCGTGGACAGCAGCATCCTGGGCACCGATAGCCTGAAGGGTCACTTGGGCTGTTCTGCTCAGGGCTTCCTCCAGCATCGTGGACACCGCTACAGACAACAAACAACCACCCTCAGAAAATGTCAATGTGCCATCGCTGTTTTCCACAGACACGCCTGACCTACAGTTCCTCCTGCATCACCATCACAAGCAGCCAGAAATACCTCAGTCTCACATTCTCGTACCGGCTTACCGGTTACTTTTGTGTGGTCACATTTTTCCACAGGCTCTATACAAATTATAACACACTCCCCTATCTGCACTGTTATTTTCCTTTTATACAATTTTAAGCTTATACAGAAACACTGTCTGACTTCAATCTGACAAGACGAAGAAAAGCAAAGAAAGTCTAACAATCTAAAAAAAAAAAAAATCGAGCAATACCCAAAAGCACTGAGGACCTCTGAAGAATATCTAAATAAATGACTCCTACCTCCATTAATATTAATCCCTGAAAGTGTGTAATTAATACAGCATATGCTGATACAGGCCCCTTACAGGCGATCTTCTCCTGCTCCTCTTTGTCCTGCTGTGCCAGGTGGGCAGCCACTTCTTCTGGCGGGCGCTCTTTCCCTGCAGGGGACTCTTCATGGGCACACTCCTTACAGTGCCCTCCTGCAGAGAGGCAAGGACACAGGGATCTCAGCTCTGAGGAGCCAAAGCACGCAGCTAGCGAGATCACGATGGATGAGCACTCTCCTGTCATCACACAGAACTTAGTTTCAGAACGCATGCAACACTTGAAACAAAGAATAAATACTAGTAAGTGTAACAGGGCCCATGCACTGAGCCAGTTACAGAAGCGATGTCACCCTCTCTGAAATCTAGACAGTGTAGACCTAGTCTTTTGGCTCGGTGAAGTGATCTTCCCCATGAGCGACCGAGATCCAATCCTGGGAGGGAAGACTGCAGACGTCACTCAAGCACACGGCGATGTGTGTAGAACAGCAGCCTGATCCAGATGACAAGCACGAGCAGGCTTCACGCACCCACACACGCCCGGGAAATGGATGGAGCTGGAAGAGAGGCCCCCCACCTCACACACACAGCACCTGCGTCCCACTGACCTGACTCCGCCTGGGGTTTGTCCTCGCCCGGCTGCGGCCCCTCGTGGGTGCCAGGGGCTGGCATAGACGGCACCTCGCTGATCGCAGAAATGATGTGGGCTGCCTCTGTGGAGGCCTCTGCAAGACAGTCATCACACATCAGGGCTCTCAATGTGCGCCTGAGACGCAAACTCATATCCAATTCCTCCTATTTAAACCTGACAGGTATCATTTCGTCTAACGCTATCGTTACTCTTAATGTTTTAATGGGCTCTGATTTTACAAAGCCCTAAATATACTACACCTGGAGCAGCCATCAACATACCCTCTACATACTCTCCACCTATTCCAGTACTATTTTGGCATTTTGTATTACATTATTTAGCATGAGAAACTTTCCTTAAAACTTTATTGCAATTACAGTACAACTCTTTAAGGATAATGGAGATTTTGCCATGCCCAGAGGAAATGCTTGTGCCCAACAGTTCCTGGTTATGCATTTTGACACATTTTTGTCACAAATTGTTTAATTTTGTCAGGGTTCTTGTGCAGATTTTTCAAAACCCCCTGGAACTACTCTCAGAGACTCGACATCATATCTCCCACATGGCACTACAGTCCAATACAACTGAAACACTGCTCCTTTCTTTTGGCTTCTGGCTTCCCTTTAACCTGCTGTTAGTGCAAACACAGGGAACGACGGAACATCTGTAGTCTAGACTCCAAAGACTGCATGAAGTAATTTTTTGTCGTTTAGACCAATACGATGATGTTTTACTACTATGTGGCCTGAACACCTACTAGTTGCGTCGATTTGGTATGGCACCTTTAACTGAAGTTCTTAGCTGAAGTTTGGGAGGGATGGAGACAACCAAGCAACCTTCATCTCAGCTGTTCTCAGTCGTAATCATTCTTGTCCCTTCTCAAAGCTGCTTACATCATACACACGCCTTTTCTTTTCAACTTTCTCCTCACACGCCCCATCTCCACCCACACAACTGCCCCTTGGCTCACTCCTCCTTCTGTAAGGGCCTCCCTGGCTCTTCCTCCTCAGCTAGGCAAGCCAAATGACACGTGCCAAACTCCTCAAGCACAAAATCCTCAGATGCCCTTCTGATTTTCAGGTGTCCTTATTTCTTGTGAACTCCCAATTAGTTCCAAGAAGTTTATGGAGTTGGAACAGGAGGAAGATAAATAGGGAAGGTTGGAAAAAAGAAAGCAGACAAGCAGGATTACACTATAAATATATGAAAGGCTTTAAGAACATTCGATACCTAATGTGAAATTGTGTCAGGATTTTAAGGCACACGATACAGCGTTCATTCTTACACAATTCTAACAACAGCTAACGGTGGCAGTAGGGAGTAAACACAAAAAAGTTTTATTTTTTTGCAAGAAATGGACAATTCTAAAAGAGAAAACAAGTTTCCTTCAGCTATTCCAGAATGACAGAATCTAAAAACCCTGGAGTGACCATCTTTATTGGTGATTCCATGTCATGGCTATATCTAACATAACGTGCTGCACAGGGAGAGTCTGGTAAGGAAGGAAACCCCTCGAAATGAAAGCCGGTGAACCATACTTACAGATTAATAATAATTCCTTACACTTATATAGTACTTTTCCTCACACTCCACTCAAAGCGCTTTACAAGTAATGTAATGGGGACTCCCTTCCACCACCAATGTGCAGCCCCCACCCAGATGATGCAACAGCAGCCATAGTGCGCCAATATCACTCACCATACACCAGCTATCAGTGGGGAGGAGAACAGAGTGATGAAGCCAGTTCATAGATTGGGATTATTAAGAGGCTGTGGTTGGGAACTATTGCGGTTGGGAACTATTGCCAGAACCGGGGTTGGGTTACACTCCTACTCTTTTCGAGAAACGCCCCGGGATTTTTAATAACCACAGAGAGTCAGGACTTCGGTTTTACGTCTCAACCTTTTTACAGTATTGTGTCCCCCTCACTATACCGGGGCATTAGGACCCACACAGACTGCAGGGTGAGCGCCCCCTTCTGGCTTGCATTACATCAACACCTCAGTTTTCAGATTACAGATCTACCACTTGAGCACAGCAAAAAGTCTCATGCTCCACAAACCTTCCCCATTGAGCAGACCATCACTAGATTTCTATGAAAGCCCACCTGTCGGCCACCACTCACCTTCCAGGCTCTGGTCCTTTGGAGATGTCTCCGGAGTCGGGGGCTTTTCAGCAGGGGTCACCTTGTCTTTTCCCTTTGGTTTGGGCTGCTTCGATTCCTTCATAGCCTCGGACACCGAAGAGATCTGGAGCGGACCTGGCTTTGTCTTCCAAAGGCAAGAAACCAGAAATGGGCTTATTATAACACATTTATATCCCCCCTGATCCCCTCCCTCAACACACCGACTTCTTATATAACTTCTTAACACTGGACTCTCCAAATGAATTCTGTGTTGATAACTCTTCGTATCAACAGCTAAAAGGTGTCACACCCAACATTTGTCAAGAGGATTTAATTCAGAACCCATCTAAGCACAAAACTGTTACCATCTCTTACTATGAACAATAATACAATTTATTATTTGACATTATACTATATAAATGTACGTTATTAGTATTCTACGATTATAAGAGCTCCAGAGATATTAATGCATTAAAAAATATGAAGAACTGCATTTTTTGTGGTCACCAACTCTAGGAAAACACACATGAATGGTCTTTTTCCAGTGCAGTTTCAGCCCTGTTCCAATACAGAGCCTATTGCTCCAATATGGAGATTTATAGTTTAATTGTGGGTGACGTCAAAATCTCTGACCAGGATTCCATCAACCTATCTAATGTATCTCACACACTAATGATTCAGTTTGTTTCCTACATTGTGAAGACACTTAAGCTGCTAAATTGTTTTCCCCTCTTATGCATGTCTGTTTCTTCTTTGGTAATGGGTTCAATTGTGTTAAATGTATTGTGTTACGTCTAATTTCCTATCTGGGGGAATAAAGGAAGTAAATAAAGTACTGCTCTGGTCAGACAAGGCTAGGTGACAGGGGCCATTATGTCTTGTCAGGTATTATACAGTAAAACACATCACTTTTCCACTCTACACTAAGTCTGCTGTAGGTTTAGCCGGACAAAGGATAACTCTGACAAGAGCACATTTCACATTTCAAGTGCACAGTCTGCACCCTCTTTCAAGATTATAGTACTGGCCGAAGTGGATTAACCATATCTGAATCGGAGATAATTAGTACAAAAACAAGTCACTGGAAAGAGAAAAATAAAATCACAGCAACAAAGTTTACAAAAGACGAATTCTTAAAAAGACCAGAAACAACGGTTATCTTTAACATGAAATTCGCTCTCATTTCAGCGATAACCTAACAATTGTCAACTGAGGTCATTAATAAGTATTTTCACCACAAAGATGAAAAAAGGCACCTATCTGTTTAATTTTAGCTTGACAAACAAAAACAAACTAAAAGAGCATTTATATCCAAGCAGAAAACAGCGTTCAAGCCACTTACCGGTTTCTTTGGCAATGGCAGTGCATAAGGGGCAGGACCAAGGGTCATTTCAAAGACCGTTTCAGAGTAGGGGACGGACTTTTCTACATTCTCTCTGAATTTAGGGTCCCATTTCGCATACAGAATCGTGCCTCCCAGTCCTCCTCCCACAAAGAGGAGACCTGCTCCAACTATTTTGCCTGCAGAAGCCCTGTGTAGTGAAACAACAAATTAACCACAAAAGTACGATAAATTACACACACCCTTACAAGCAAGTAAAGACGCTGTTAGTGTTCCTAAATTAGCGACAATGGGAGTGTTTAGCACATCATTCAATCTTAGTAAAAAAAAACATCAGCAAGACTAGGATGTGTAAATGGTATTGGGGAGAATGAAAATGTAAATATTACAGAACAGTGCCTGTAACTTAAAATTTAAATCTCCTTTTCTTTCTTACACTATGTTAGTTTAAGGTCCAAAGAGACGTACTCATGCAAACATTAATTACACTGTATCTCAAGGCTAGACAGGGCCTGAGAGAAACCTAACTACTGTACTATACCAACAACGTGTGCGCTGTCTGAAAAACTGCGCATCACAGATCAGTCCGTCTCAAAGGCCCAACCAGCTATTTTTCTGTAAACGAGATCGAGGAGGTGCAGGAAACTGAACTCCCATTCTTCCTCCATGACACCCGGGAGTGAGAGTACGTACCCAGACCTTCCTGATGTCGTGTAGCGCCGGCAAGGCAGCAGCGGACGGACCGACACTTTACCGCACAGGCAGGTCTGCAGAGAGCAAAGGAAAATACCGGCGCGGTCACGTCATCTGCTCACTTTACTTCCTCGGCTCCTTCCGTACATTTGAGGTTCAAATACTTCACAAATCTTCACAAGTACATTTTATAAAACAATCTTCCTGATTCAGCGTACAGTCTAAGCTATTTAGGGGGGAAAAAGTAAAGTGTAATGGATAGAACAGAATGAACACCGGTGACCTACTGTATATACAGTAATTGTACGAAGAGGCACTAACACCACAACAAATGAGCACTGTAATCAACAGCATTTGTTGCCATTCTAATGCCTCGTGGCTCTGTGGCTAAGGATCTGCGTCTGTGGCTGGAAGGTTGCCGGTTCGTATCCCGCAGCCGGCAGAGGAATCCTACTCCATTGGGCCCCTGAGCAAGGCCCTTAACCCAACCTGCTCCAGGGGCGCCGTATAAATGGCTGACCCTGCGCTCCAACCCCAAGCTTCTCACCCTGTCTGTGTGTCTCATGGAAAGCAAGTTGGGGTATGCGAAAAGACAAATTCCTAGTACAAGAAATTGTATATGGCCAATAAAGTGATCTTATCTTATATACAGTGCCTTACAAAAAATTAATTAAACTACAGATGTTTTTTTAAAGCCAATACAAACTTGAATGCTCAACCTGACACTTTTATGGGCGAAAGACATATAGAAGACATCATATTCCTGTAACAGTTCAAGTAGGGAGCTGCGTCAGCATGCGCAGGCTGCAAAGGAACAAGTTAAAGGTTTATTCCATGCTGAAAAGAGAAGAAATTAAACACAACGTTTTTGCTGTGAAGCCCTCTTCAGGTGTGTCAAAGGAAAGTGTCAAATTTCAGAGGAAATCCTTTAGGAATGATATTATAATTATGACATCTGTAAAGGAATAAGAGATGGTTAGAAAGCCTGGTCTTGGAACAGACTGCTGTGAAGAGACGGAATGCTGGTTTAGTGAGAAAAGGGGGCAGGCAGCCCAGGGAGGAGGAGAAGGAATGAAGAAGATACAGTATCTAGAAAAAGATATTCCTGTAATTAACATTTTCGTTTTGAATTTCTTTGCCGTTTTTGCTCACATGTACATGTAACTTATTCACTCATAAATTTCTTCACTTACAATCAAGATTTGATTAGCAGTGTTCAAAAAAATCTTCATACACAATTCATACTCAGCAAAATTAGGTATTACTGGAAGGGATGTGAATACTTCTGCAAGGCACCGTATATGGGGCACCTAGACTGCTGAGCTCACTAAATGTATCAGCTATCGAGTTTCATAATACACTACATATTTAGTGAGCAAGGTGTATATTAAAATATGCCACAGGGATACTTGGCAATTTTTGATGGCAGCACTTGTGTTTATCTCTTTTATACGAAATAAAGGGAAAATCAGATGCAACACTCTCATAAAACACTTTAAAGTGGGAAAGCAGAATAAAGCTGAATCACAACTAGTTTATCGTACTATCCCAGTTTATTTTACTTTTAGGGAATATGTTTGATGTGTTATGCAAACCTAATTTTACACCGATCGAGGTCGACAGCTTTCATGAGCATCAACCTTGTCTGAAAAGCAAAACAGAGTATTTCAAAATCTCCAATAACAAAAAGACATTTGGAGCTGCAATTTAAAATCATTTAGTTTTACAAAACAGTATTAAGAGACCTACTCACTAGGGGTACAACAATGCATTATAGGAGTAGCACGATCATTTCAAGTTACGCTATGAAATCCTGTCTCCCTAAATCAGAACTTGGTAATGTAAATACATTTCCCCTGTCTCTTACACCCAGGTATAGCCAATGTCGAAACCCCGATTCATATACATGTTCCGCTGGCTAATGAAAAAAAGTTTTAACAAGGTCATGTCCTTCTGTCATCCAAAACGTTCAGAGCCTTTCATGCAACTGCGGTTCTTATTACGATTAACTGTGCACTTAATTAACGCCAAACATCATTACGCTGTTTGTACTACATACTAGCAGCATTTTCTTAAAACAAAAATCGTATCAGCACGGAGAAATTACAGTTTGACATTGATGAAGCCACTCCTCGCAAATTTAATTCCCACTTTACTTTCCAAACTACTTCTAAGCCGGGCGCCTGATCCCACCTTATTCATTTTTGAAGACACTTATTGGATAACGTCTGTGTCGATCCTGGAATATTCTGCGCTAATTCGTTCATCGCTGCCGTCAATCATGTAAAAATGACACACCGTGCCCAGCCTAATAACGTGCTGTGCGTCATTTTACATGCACCATAGAAATTAAACCACATTCGAAAATGCAAAAGAACGGTAGCTCGGAAAGCATTTTTAATTCAATCTTACAGTTTTTAGAATTTCTGTCACACATTGAGGCAAAAAAACTCCCCTATTGTATCAATAAATGCACGTCTAACAGGCCTCTTAAGAGTCGGATCAGTGAATGACAGGACCGACTTTCGTTTGTAAGAAACGCACTTACTTGAGCTGCAGCACTGGCTGCTTTTCCACAGACGCGCAGCATTGTTGTTGATATACTTTTAGAGTCGTTGTGAGCTGTAACGGATTACGATCCCTCTTTAGTTAAACATGATAGGGACGTTCAGCCTCGAAAGCGCTTATCCCGGACAACCCACACCGCCTCTCCAGCCCCCTTTGCCCTTTGACAGAGAACGATGGCACATGCGCAGTTCTCCTGAACCGAGGGGCCCGCAAAGAGCAACTCCTTGGGGGCGGGTCTACGACGGCCGAGTGACTTGTGGGAAAGCCAATGAGAGAGCCGAGATCTGGGACCGGGCCCTTTCCCGAGCACATGGTGAGTCAGAGCTGTGTGCATGGGGCCAGTCGCCACAAGGTTGTTACTGAGACAAAATTTAATTGAAGCAGTTTTTTCCGCCCAAGGTTATACATCTGTTTTACATATTGTAAAAGGAAAATCCGTGTTAAGAATACAAAAATAATTCAATTTACAGTAGTCATTGGCATTATTTAGTGTTTTCAAAATGCAGATCTTTGTAGCTGCCTTTTGTGCAGGGTGATGAAATTTACATTAGAATAGTCAACTTTTTTTAGACATTTAGCAGCATGTTCCAGCACAAGAACACCAGAGGGATGGTGTTTAATGTTGTCAAGGCTAGCATAACACATTGTACAATATGTTACTGTGTGCCAGTCTGTTATGTGTTAACAATTACTTTAGACTAAGGTGTCTTAGTTCTGTGCTGTTGGGTTATTTAAGATTAGCCTGTAGGTTTTAGAAATAACTGACTTTAAGTTTACTTAATATTGTTAAACTAGCGATGACACATTTGATTGAGTTGATGTTTCCTTACACCGCCTTACAGAGCACGTTTTCATGCAGATCACGGTCTCAAGAGAGAGACTTTTCAGCAGGTCACAAAAAAGTAAAAATAACACTACAGAGAGAAAGTTATAAACTATTCAGAAATGGCCAGCAATCAATGTGTTTCAAAAATACTTTATGCATGGTAACAACCATAGATAAAAAATCTCAATACTAAGCATTTTAAAGTTCAAGCATTTACAGAATTTTTAAACACAAATATAAAAATATGTGCAGTATATAGAATATATAAGAATTTGTAAGCAATCCTTATATTTGCAAAGGTGCAATACATAAGGGAAGCCATTCTGAATTAAGACATAACACTGAGCTAAAAGAGGCTGCTACATGAGAACAAATAATAATAGCATTTTATTCAAAAGTGCTTTTAAAAAACTCAAAGTGGTATGCAAAAGTACCATGGTTATAATAGAAAATAGCTGGCATATGATAGGAAAGAACAAGACTAGGCTTCTGGTTTTAGACCTGACCTCAAGACAGAGACTTCTGAACAGTGAGCGGCCTGGACATAACTTTGAAAACAAGTGGAGAAAGAAAAGGAATAGAAACTCTGGGCAGAAGACAACACACTCATGTGGGAATGTTTGTAACTTCTGTGGAGACCAGAGGATACATGAGGGACTATAGGATCCACTTTAGGAATCACATTCATAAGAATGCCTCTTGAGGTCTTTTTTTTCTTTTCTCTATTTCTGTTTCTTCTGACTCCACCTCCCTCTCCCTCACCCTCTCCCTCCCCTCCTCATCTGCCAAGAAGCTCTGTGTCATTCTTGCCTCTTCTACCTACTGTTTAAAGCACATTTCTCCTCTCTGGTGCCTTCCTCTTGAGCATCCTTCACAGAATTCATCCTTTCCTTACCAGCTATTCCACACAACCTCCACTCCAAGCCCTGGTACTGTCCTATAGACTACTGTCATTCCCTCTTGGATGTCCTCCAAGCTAAAACTGCAGCTCAACCAGAATTCCTCCCTTTTCTCATGCTCTTTCCTTACTCCAGTCCCAACACAAATCAAAACCATAGTCCACATTGTCCACTACTGTTTCAACCATGCTGGGATTTTCAATCTTCTTTCTCTCCCTAAACTCCCACCCTCTGTCTCTACTCCTTATTAGCCATGTGAATATTATTGTGAAAAGTAAAATTAAAATTCACCAGTATATCTTCAAAGATCCAGTCACTTATTCTTGAGTTACAATTACCGAAACAGCCCATTCCTTATTAATTCCTCGCAGACTATTGCATTTCTCTGCTTGCCTCAGTGCCAATACTATACACTGCCTCTCATCCGGAATAGTCTGTTTTTCTCATGCTTTAAACTTTAAAACCATATGAATTCGCCCATTATTGATAATAGCACCAAAATAATGATATTTTTTTTCCACATCACGTCCCTCTTGCCTACCCGCACTATTTGTTCTAACTGATGTGCCGTAGTTTGGAGGTCGTGGTGGGGATTAAAGATGGCGGCCACCTTGAGAAGATGTTGTGGTGTGTAAATTTTCGATTTATATTTCCTAAAACATTATTTGTTGATGATTGTAACTGTGGTTATCATCAAATCAAATATTTTTTTTAATTTATACTGACGTATAACATTCTTCGGGGGGACAGAGCTATGAATTCATTTGTGATTTGTAATTTACTGTAGGTTGTAGGTTCTTATATGTTTTGCATTTCCTCATTAAGATCACTAGAATACTGCACTTGCAGACTCATCTGGAGTATGTTATTGTTATGTTACATACCAGTTCAGTCATGTTTGTATGTGCATGTTACTACTGTTTTGACACGGAAGCTGGTCCAAGAAATTATAGCGGCTTACTATAATTAAGTTTATAAGTGAATATTGCGTTATTTAGGGTGAAATTTGTACAACCTACACAACAAAACTATGTCTATAGCTATGACTTAGGACCCGTTTAGTTATAAATGCGTTTAGATAGCTGGAAGGTTGCTGCTGGAAGAGGTGTTAGTGGGGCCAGCAGATCGCGCTCACCCTGTGGTCTATGTGGGTCCTAATGCCCC